GTCGGGTGTGGACAATCCGTGGCTTTGTTTCGGGAAAAAAATATCTTGCTTAACTAAAAAAAATTATCTCTTCTCTTTCCCTTTTCTTCCTTTCAATCGCCGTTATCACCCTTCTAGTCGCAACGGACAATATGACAACTCTTGTTTTACACGTGGTGTTTGTCAGGTATTTTATCGCTAATTTATCAAGATGGGTGGTATTCTTAACATGGCTTCAAAAAAGAAATATCCCCAAAGTTTTCAGTCAGTCTGTCGCCTCCAAGGAAGAAAGAAAAACACTTCTGGATCCCCATTCATTTTCCTTCGGTACATATTCCTGATAACATAATTTTATTATCGCAGGCCAAAGTTGTTTCGTCGAAAAGAATTCGGTCAGCGAGACTGCTTGTGTGGGATTTAATTTTTCATATCTGTCCAAAGTCCTTTTTAGTGGCCTGTTTCTCGTCACTTATCAAAATAGCATTTTCACCTGAATTTTTCCATGGCCAGTGGTCCAGCCGTTATCAAAACACATCTGATTCCTTCTTTCTTTCCCTTTCTTTTTTACTCAGAAATTCCCTGTCATTGTAATGACACCCTTTTTCATTTGTTACTTATCAATATTTTCATTGTCTCTTAGCCGTGTGTGTGGATGCTTATCACCTACGATTCGTCTCGCCTTTCTTTCTGCCTCCTTTTCTTTCTCTTCCTTTCTCTGCCTCGTAAATGGTGCCACAGAGAGATAGGAGTGCTTTAAAATTTATTATTTATTTTATTATAATACTTAATATTGAGGGGGGGATGACCAGACATTGACCTATTTAATCAACACACCGGAAACTATATAAAAGAAAAAAGAAAAAAGGGAAAAAAGAAGAAAATATACACAGAGGCACGGTGGGGTAGATATATATATGTCACTCTCTGACGAAGCTGTAATAAAAAGGAAACATGTTAGATTTATAAACGTTTACTATTTATCTTAGCATTCTGTAGGATTTTAGCATTTTGTAGGATTCCGATCCATACCAGTTCACACACGCATGTATACACACACACACTACATATATATATATATATATATATATATATATATATGGGTTTGTGACAAAAACACACGAAAATGGAAATAGATCTAAGAACACACAGGGGTCATTAAAAGATAAGAATGCCGATAACTACTTCACCATTTCTCGGACCAATCTTAAATGTTTTAGAACTTTTCACTGCCAGTTCAAAAAAGACGTTGGGATCTCTAACACACAAAAAAAGAATGTCTCATATCGAGAATATTTAACATCGAAGAACATAAAGAAAAAAATTCATTATTTTTAATAATATGTGGAAATCTCCACTCTTTGCCTGATAACAGTCGCGAGACCGGAAACCCGTGTAGCAAAATTCTGGAAAATAAAGCATAATATATTTTTATAAATCCACATTACAACCAAAAACGTTTGCGGTTTCTCTCTTCTTTTTAATATATATATATATATATATATATATATATATATTAAAGTTCTACATATTATTTTTTTCACACGTATATTGAGCAGTTTTTAATACTACTGTTTCCTGGTCTGATTCAACTCTGACCGTTAACCTATTATATATATATATATATATATATATATATATATATATATATATATATATATTTTATTTTTTTCTCATGTTTTTCACAAGTCATGGTGATTCTCCGGTATATCCATTTTGCTCGTATGGAATTCCCCACCCCCAGTGTGTTTAGATGGTGTGTGCATGCATGTACACATTAGCCCTCCTCGTCTTAGCAGGTCGAATTAGCCGAGGGCTGAATTAAATGGCTATCTTCACAAACACAGTTGCCGACTAACTAATGATTAACGTTAGAAAATTATATAACATACAGGATGTCTGCTGTAGTAAACCACCTACAGTAGAATGAACTCTTCCTCTTTATAAATACTAACCTGCGAGACTTCCGATGTGTGTGTGTGAGCAACGGAGACGCAGTTTAACCTGGCTGTTCGGGCGGACACTTCTATCTGATTATTACTAGTACTCTTACTTTGTATATATCTGTTATTTCAATGCACTTGTTCAACGTAATTTCGTCTTCTTTCTGGTCCCTAAACAGGCCACAATAATGTCCCTAAAAATCTCTGTACAATTTACATTAAAAAGACAAATGATATGGCACTACAACTAGATAATCTACCAACAATCATTTGCGCCACCACATTGAGGACTGCATGTCCGTGGATTCCTAAATCAAGAATATCCAGGCCAGTAGATTGGAAGAGATGGCCTAATTCCCTGGTCACCTTCTTCACCAGATATCCTTGCTCTGGACTTCTTTTTGTATAGGGTTATGTTAAAGATATCAAACATGGCAAGAAATCGAGTACCGTCTATTGGCACCCATATAGGGGTTTATTAGATAAAAGAAAAAAAAACAAACTTCAATATCTACTCTTTCATTTTGTAACAATTTCCACATATTTGTCTGTTCATTTGCTTTTGTAATACACGTTTTTAAATTGTAAATAGACTTTATGGAAACCCAGTATATAAAAACATATGCGACTTTATAGAACTAGATATAAAAAAATTCTATCATTCTATAACCCAACCCATGCTAGAAATGGCTATGTCCTTAGCTCGAAGACAAGCAAAAATAAGTAAAAATGAAGTAAAAATCACTATTATTCGATCACGAAGAAGCAGGGACAAAGAAAGAAGGAACCTTCGACATTACAATGGGGTGCTTTGATGGTGCTAGGCTTATAGGTATATATTTAATATGAGATCTAAGAAAAACAATTGATAAAATGATGTAAGCCTCTGCCGGGGCGACGTTCTCATAATTCCCATTAAGTATAACAGACAAAAAACAAACAAAACCAAAAACATAATCACAAAATCTTTTTAAATATTCGGCATAGACATAAACACATATATCATTCCCCTGGGCTTCTTTTTATGGGGGTTAAAGATATCGTGTATCAAATAAAGAAAAGGGAAATCACTGATAGAAAGCAAAAGATCACTGAAGCCATTACCACCATTGGTGAGGCTAT